AACAATGATACGCTTGGTGTATTAATAGAATTAAAAGCTTGTTTGATGTTTATTACAGACACTTATAACATGGTCTTGGTGAATACTCGATAGGGTTGGGTATCGAGAATCGAGTATCGATTGGAACCGGGACTAACTTTTCGTTTTTCCCGGAATCGTTCAAAAGTTAAAATTTCGATTCCTAGTTTCGATATTCACAGTCCGCCGAGCGGAAGAAGAAACCGCTGAACAACACCAACGAAGAAGCGTCTACCGGAAGTGTTAGCATAACCGCGTGAGTCGAACATGAGTAGCTTACGTCGGCGATCCAAAGTGTGGCTTCACTTTTCTAAAAATAACTAAATCTCGGCAAAATGCAAAATTTGTGACAAAAGGAGTATTTTTACAGAAGGAGTATTTCCTTCAGAAAGACCGTTGGTTAGCAAGGTTAGCTAAACTTTTTTGACCCTGCCTCTTAAAAGAATCGGAATCGAGAATCGTTAGGAACCGGAATCGAAACAAGGAATCGGAATCAGAATCAGAATCGTTCAAATTCAAACGATACCCAACCCTAATACTCGATTCTGATTGTCCATTAATAAGTGATAGAGGACACCTAGTTCTGGTGAAACTGACTGTTTAGCATTTGAAATTAATGAATAAATGCGATGGCGACATCAGCTGTGAGTAACCATAGCAACTGAAGGGGTCTACGAGCTGAGCGGACTATAAATATCCCCCGCTGCTAAATAAACCGCCAGGCGTAACCAGGGAAACCAAGTTATTGTTTGTAAAAACGTTAGATTTCGATTGTGAAACGAATTAAAATATAAACTAATGTTTTAAAAATGTGTTATTTGGCTTGTGACCATGGTATAAGCGGGTTAATGCCCTTCGAGTTGTCCATTGTTTAGATATTAATGCAAGGTTCACTCCTCGCCGTCGTCCATTAATACCTGACTATGGACACGTGAGAGGCGCGATGTGACCAAACACAATACAACCCATTATAATCAGTGATGCTTTCTACACTAGATGCAGCGCAACTCGCCATGTGAAATACCAGACTGTAAATGCCTCACTCTATTTCTGGCAAGAATGACAAATGGATTTGGTGTGTTCATACGTGGCATGATTGATTAGATTAAAACGAACCATGGTGTTATTGTTCTGTTAGTGTGGTTCACTTGAATAAGTGTGAACGCTGCCATCTGAACCAAACAAGCGGACCGAGACGATGAAAAGATGGGTCCGTTTCCAAAACAACTCTGCCGCGGTTCGAAAGTAATATGAATGCAACACGGACCAAAGATGTAAACCAATCAACAGGACATGATGTCACATGATGCGACACTAAAAAGGACAGAAAATAATAATTCATATTTTGAAACGGGAGAGTTCGTTTTGAGTTCTGAAACTATATCCTCTTATATGTGTAAATGTCAAGAGTATTTTGCTTTCCATTTCATGACCCCTTTAAAGCGTCAAATGAGAGTAAAGAGTAAAGAGTTTTATTCTGTGTACTTCATTAATAAATGGTCTTATAGGGCATGTCTCGACAGAGAGAGTAATATCTGTCTGCGCCAATAGACTCGTGCAGTTCCGCTTCAGGCGACCCGAGTTTGAGTCTCGGCTCGCGAACCTTCCCCTCAATACTATCCTATCATAATAAAGACAAAAATCTGCAAAAATATATCTTTAAAAAAAACAGAAAGCGAAATATCTGTCATCAACACTGTCATTAACATGTAATAATGACTTTTCTTTGAGGAATAGCCCAATTTTCACAATCTTATCAAAATCTAGTAGTACATACAATCGAGTCAATATTTCCTGTTGAATTGTTCACGCAGTAAATATATCAGAATGACTGAAGAAATGCTGTTTTTTTGGCCTAGAAATATGTTTTTCCCCAGTCACTGCTAGCATTTGGTCTCATTCATGAAACACAAGGTAAATATACGCGTAAATATGAGAGTGATTTGCGCGTAAAGAGACCTTCCCAAAAACTCTTCTCGGTTTGACATTAAGCTTGACAGCAAAAATCGTTTTTTTGCTGTCAAGTCGATCACCAGATCTGCTATTACTTATGGAAGCTTGTTTTCGCCATAGACTGAAAAATAAAAAAGGTAATTGCGACTTTTATCTCACAATTCTGACTTTTTTTTCTCACAATTGCGAGATGTGAAGTCAGAATTGCAAGATATAAAGTCGCAATTGCGTGATATAAAGTCAGAAATGCATGATATAAAGTCAGAATTGTGAGATTTAAACTATTCTGAGGGGGAAAAAAGTTAGTATTTTTTTCCCCCTTAGATTTAGCCTGATAACTCGCAATTGCGATCTCACAATTCTGAGAAAAGATGTCAGAATTTCGACCTATAAACTCGCAATTATGTGTTATAAAGTCAGAATTACAAGATGTAAACTCGCAATTGCGAGAAAAAAAATCAGAATTGTGAGATAAAAAGTCGCACTTCTGTCTTTTTTTTCTCAGAATTGCGACTTTATATCACGCAATTCTGACTTTCTATTTTCGCAATTCTGACTTTATAACACACAATTGTGTGATAAAAAGTCGCAATTATTATTTTATTTTATTTTTATTCAGTGGCGGAAACAAGCTTCCATAAATTACTGGCTCTCATAATAGAAGTAAAAAGAAAAACCTTTATATTACTATATACATTTTTTTTTTCAAAATGCTGTTTAAATATGTACTTTTGATTAAGGTGAATTAAAATGCAGCCTTATTAATGAGCAAAACGTTCGGATGTTAAGCCACGCGTGTCTGGGAGCAGGTGTAGATTTCTTGCGTACCAACTAACATTTGGAAAATACGAACGTTTTAATGTATCCGAAAATTTACGCCAGAACCACTTTACACACGATTTACACACTAATTCGTTCTGCTCGTGTTTCATGAATGAGACCCATTGAGCGAAGTTAGCCGTTCTCTGTAATGCCGTTCCTATGTGCTCAAGTTCCAGCAGTCGGTCAGTGTGTCAGACGGCTCTTGACTCTCTGAACGAGGTCTCCGACAGCTCCATCAAGGGCTGATTCCTGTGGTAATGCCTCTGATTTCTTCTCTTTTTATCCACTCTCGCTTTCACAATAACGCTACAGCTCGTTGGTAAGTGGTCTCGATGAGGTTTTTCATCTTCCTGAAATGAGAAATGGCAGCGGTACCTCGTCCCCATGGCTAACTGACCTTTGATTTGCACTAATTCTGGTCATTAAATCAAACCGCTGACCTTTATGGAATGCCGAGCTTTGATGTTGAACTCTTGTGGCTCAGAGATCAGAGGCTGTGGTGTCTGTTTCCCTCTTCCCTCCACTGGTCCTGCTTGCCTTGTTTCCCTTTCTCTGTCTTTAGTTTTTCACTTTGCATTTGTTTCTGTTTTGCACTCTAAAGCGTTGTGTCACCAAAGCATGTTTTCATGCAACTGCCGTATCTTTTCAATTGTTTTCAATGGGATCGGTGTGTTTCTAAAACGTTATGAGCGTAACGAGGCGCCGAGCGTCATTATTTCCAGTTGCCGAGAGTGGAAGAATGTTGAACTTTGGGTCAAACTTTTTACTCAGACTTCCAATCACAGTGAAGTAGAGGTGGGAAAAATACCACCGACCAGCCGTCACTTTCTGCTTGTTCAACGTCAACAGATGGCAACAACAAGCATACTAAAGCCAAGTTCACACTACATGGTTTTAAAACGCCGGGCTGAACTGTGCGGTTCACACTACATGATTTGCTCTCTGTGAAATCAGGAGTGTTGAAGTTGTTGAGCTGTTCACACCACACGACACAATAGGATTGATCCGCAACAGGAGGGAACGCACTACACAAGTTGACAACAACTATGTCACCCAACGATTTTATCTTGTCTACAAACCACGTTTTGTCACAAAAAAATCACGTGATGAAACGAACCGGAAATGCCGCGAAACAGCACACGCGCCAATACCCAGTGAAGAAGACGAAGAACACAACACGCGAATATGGACGTCAGACAGAAACTAGTACTGCAAACAGTTTGTGCGATGATTTGCACTGAGAAAAAATAAGATTTAAGTACAAAATACTTTACATTGTATTGACATTTTTATAAAGAAACAAACTATCTGAAAAATGAGATGCTAGTAACACTTCCGCGGATATTACTTATCGTAGCAAGCCAAGCGTCTCAACTAGGGTTGGGTATCGTTTGAATTTGAACGATTCTGATTCCGATTCCTTGTTTCGATTCCGGTTCCCAACGATTCTCGATTCCGATTCTTTTAAGAGGCAGGGTCAAAAAAGTTTAGCTAACCTTGCTAACCAACGGTCTTTCTGAAGGAAATACTCCTTCTGTCACAAATAGTCCTTTTGTCACAAATTTTGCATTTTGCCGAGATTTCGTTATTTTTAGAAAAGTGAAGCCACACTTTGGACCGCCGACGTAAGCTACTCATGTTCGACTCGCGCGGTTATGCCAACACTTCTGGTAGACGCTTCTTCGTTGGTGTTGTTCAGCGGTTTCTTCTTCCGCTCGGCGTACTGTGAATATCGAAACTAGGAATCGAAATTTTAACTTTTGAACGATTCCGGGAAAAAAGAAAAGTTGGTCCCGGTTCCAATCGATACTCGATTCTCGATACCCAACCCTAGGGTTTGGCAAAAATTGTTTCTGTTTTGCAGTCGACAAACTTCGACGATTAACTTCTCCGCAATGTCGTCGTCTATTTTAAATGCGCGAGCCCTTAAATTACAATGGGTTCTGATTGGCTGTCAGGGTTTTATCGTTCAACCGCTGGAAAAAAATCGTTCTGAATGTGATCCCAACTATATTGTCTCTCATATGGTTATCGTTACAGCTGTGGTGTGAACTCTACTATTCTTTAATATTGAGAGCGATTTTTATCGTTATCGTCCTTGGTGTGATCTTGCCGTAAGTGTTGTATTAACAGAATCAGTTTTCCATAAACACACCGTATATGGGTTCACCTTAACTCATGGCGTTTTTTGTGTTTCTCCTCACCAGACCATCTCGGATCTGGAGTCCCAGGTGCGTTCCCTGAGGAAGGAGCTTCTGGCGGCCCACAGTCAGAGGACACAGCAGCTGACAGAGTTGGGTTTACTGCGGGAGGAGGAGCGACAGCGGGCCGCTCACGACCAACAAGCCGCTCTGGACCGCATGCGGGCCGAGATGGATCACGTGCGGCAGGACCTGGAAAAATCCCACAAGACTGAAAGAGAGCTGGCACAAGAGAAGGTTGGTGTGGACTTCACACTGAACGGGAATTATCATACACCCGGTGTGTTTTATTAGTTTCAGCCTTGACGGCACCATGAGCGCTGTTGATACGCAGGATTCACTAGTTGTAGTGAATAAATTCTAGCCATTTCATTCTTAACCAATTGTTGGAAAACGGGATAAACCTCGAGCGTTTGAGCAACCGAAAACACACTCCAACCCATATTGCTCTGTGTGTCAATGCTCGCTTGGGCCAGAAGGTGTTTATAGCAGAGGGGGCGGAGCTTCAGATTCTAGAGAGCGTTTGATTGGACAGAAGATGTGATGAGAAGCCAAAGTCCATTTTAGCGGAAGTTTTTAATGCTCGTATCTGCTAAATGCGAATTTTGTCATTGTTTTGGAGAGCATTCATAACCTTAAGGCTAACATATTCATACTAAAAGCTAAAAAACGTACATTTTGATTTCAGGCAGCCTTTAATTCTTAAGTTCTGTATACATAAGAATCTGATATGACTATGTCAACAGCACTGCTATCTGCAACAATAGAGAAGATACCTCTGAAATAATTGCTTTTACATCATTGCATTATAAACTGACTGCCTTCATTGATCCTAATCTTTACAACAATTGTTATGAGTCATTTAGAAGAAAACAGAATTTGAAGTTTACTACAAAAAAAAAAGGATTTATTTCTGGGATTACCAACTCGTTTCTTTGATCGTTTTCTGATGTTTATGACAATCAGAGGATCTTGATTGTACTGTAATTCACTGAGAAATATATGACAAATTTAGACTTTTTTTCTGTCTCAGATCTCATTAAATTCAAGTATGGTGTGCCAGGATTGATGGCAGTGTTGAGTTAATTGAGATGACCCCAAACCTTACGATGAAAGACTTATTTCCCCAATAGCCAATCAAAAAAAAATATTTTATATGGCAGTCAGGTCTATCTTCACATAATTTGAAGATGATATTTGGTTTAGGTTTATATCCATAAACGTCTTTCTACTGTTGGAGTAAACATCTGTTTACATGCTCATGGTCTTCATCCAAGATACTAGTGCATCTGTTGAATTCATCTTATGTGTGTATTATTTGCTTTTATTTAAAAAACAGAAGCAAGCTTAATGGACTCTGGTGTGAATCTATGGTTTCAGGATCTCTGTGCTCTGATCAGTTATGAATAATATGACATGCAGCCAAACTGAACTTTGTTTTAAGAAAACACACACACACACAGACACAAACTTTATGCACCCGTTTGCATCTCTAAAGCCTCCGTTTATGCCAACTTGTGACTAGATTTCCCCTTTCTATAATGTCACTATTTTCTCAACTTCTACCATTATATTTAGTGCTATATAACACCATGAAACATCATGATATAAAAGTTTTGCTTTTGTGATGATAAACTAGGATATAGAGTGCCGAAGTTATGACGTCACTTTGTAGATACCTTGGAAGATAGCTGCGAATGGGTTCCCTCGATCGAAAAGCTATGCATTTTCCCCATAGACTTTTGGAAAATCGCTAAAAATAAGATCTGTGTTCAACAAAGAGTTGTGGCCCTTACACTTTTTGTCTATCAAGATAATCTTTAATCAAGTTAATCAAAAATGTATACATTTTGAAGCCTATATAAAGTTTTTAAAAAACACAAGCAGACACGATAAAGTTAAAAAAACCACAAGCAGGTTATAACTGTGTGTTCTGTGTCATAGATCAAAACGTGAAAATATTCACCACAGACCTTATTTCAGGCGAATTAGCAAAAACCCAATTAAAAAATCCCATAGGCTTTAGAGCGAGGGAACCGGGAGTGCTAAAATGCTAACTCACCTCCGCGTTTTGGTCTACAAAGTGACGTCGTAAATTCGGCGCTCTATATTGCATTTGAAGTAATTTATTTAAAAATAATCCGTTACATCAGTGAGCGAGCCATACATGAATGAAACATATTTGTAAGAGTATACGAGAACCTGCTCGTGAATAGCGGTGGCCAGGGTTAAGTAACCGTCAATTTATGATGGTTGAGAGGATGATTTTGAGCAAATGTCTCCTAAAGACTCTGTAAGTAGCACACGGACTACTTTTATTAGGTGTTTATGCCACTGGTTGTTGTGATCCTCCAATCTGACTGATATTATGTCTATGCAAGTTGCTCAATATTCACTCTGCACACTTTCCACAATCAATTTCCACAATACACAAATTTTTAAATGATTCCACACTTTCTTTGGCAGAAAAAGAAAAGAAATAAATCACAGCCACTCCTTGAGCATGCAGCAAAAGCCACGTTTCCACCGAAATTACCCAGAACTATTTGTCCAAGAATCTGTTGGAGGATCATCACAATATAGAGTTAGCAGATATTAAAGGACAACTCCGGCGCAAAATGAACCTTTCATTTTTTAATTACACATTGGTACATAGTCAACCGTTCTCTGAAATTTGTTTTCATGCTTATCGAATGTAAAGGTTTAATCTCTAAAAACTGTTTATCTTATAACACTACTATATGGGCATAGAGTAATGAAAATAAAAATCGCTAGTTTATACCACTAACAAGGCTCAAAATAGCCCAACACTAACATGGTAGCATAATCAGGGTCCCTACATGCAAACCGAAGCATTGAGAATGTTGTAAGTGTACAGACCGTTTAATAAGAAGATATTTTATAAAGACAGTCCACTTCACAAATACAGGCGGCGCCATCTTTGGAAAACAGTTTTTAGGGATAAAACTCTTTACATTCGATAAGCATGAAAACAAATCTCAGAGAACGGTTGACTATGTACCGATGTGTAATTAGACCAAAGGTTCATTTTGCGCCGGAGTTGTCCTTTAAGCAGAGAGTCTACTCTCTAATGAGAGTTAGTGCCCTTTCACACCTACCTGGTTTGGTCCGGATTTTCAGACTTTTCAGTTTGATCCGAATCAAACTTACAGGTGTGAACCCCCTCCCCAAACAGATGAAATTTGGTCCGATGAAAAGAGGTTGGGTTCGTTTCTGGTGTGAAAGCATTTATGGGTCGGGACTTTCAGACCATCTACAGGAGGTTTCGGTGGATTGCTCGCAGTCTTATCCTCCTTTCCGATAAAATGTTCGCACAACGAGGACGTTCATCTGGTGAATTTGAACTAGCCTTGAGTTGGTGCTGCAGGAAGTGATGGCGTAATGATAACAGTATAGTGGCAACGATATGCGTCCGTTCATTCATTTTTGTCAAAGTTACCCGCCGAATTAAAGACATGCTGACATCAGACGTACATCCATTTACAAACCAATCAGTGTCAAGATGCAGCCCACATAGATGATGACGACAGGGCGCACGTATGTCATGTAAAGTTCTTTAGTGCGCTCGCAAAACTGCAACGTGAAACCAAACCAAAACTTAGCGGATATATAAAATGTATCAAAATATCACCTTTGGTTCGGACAAACGCCTTGAAAACGCCCCCAAGTTGACATGTAGATGCAAAGTTGCTATTGGTCAACAGAATGTGCAAAAGGGATCATCAAAATAAAGTGTTAAGGCCATTGCACACTGGATGCTTTTTTTCGTTTTTCGTATTTCGAACCGGTGGCTCTGAATTGTCCAAACACCATTCAAAATGCTTGCTACGGATACGAAAAACGCAGAAAATCGAACCCGATTCGATTTTTTTTTATGACGGACGAAAGTTTCGGATTGACATAACGTGAGGTCGTGTTTATTTTTTAACGTGCGAAAATTTCAATTTCGCCCTTTACCGAGTCCCTAGTTCCAGGGGAAAGTACCTGCGGTGGAAACTGGAATAAATAAACATAACTTATAAACAGATGAATGAATACACTCAACAAACCGTGTGTTACGTACTAGCGCATCCACACATGTTCACCGCTGGCCTGTGTTGGCTTGAAGAGATCACGTCAGCATTTAATTCTACACATTAGCCCCGGCTCTATCAAGGTTGAGCAAGCAGACTCTACCGGAAATCCTGCATCCTTACGGTTTTCAAAGCTCTTGATTCCAGCCGCAGAAACGAGGGCTTGGGAAGTGGCCGTAATCCAGCACAGGTTGGCCAGGAACCGGCTAAAGGTGGTATTGATCAGAGCGTAATCCTGATTAGGCCCATCAAAGCGATTAGTTTTCATTAAACACATGCACCACTGCTGACTGCACATCTGCGGCACATTAGCATGCCATTGGGCCTCTTCATAAATCCCCGGCCTCCATTTTGGAGCCATATGTGAGTACATTGCAGCACATAAATCCCATCTGAAGAGAATCCCGCCTGGCGTTTCCACTCTCAAGCTGACACGTAAGGCTTGTTTACAGAGCCAGTCTCGGTTTCTGCCCTCATCTGATACTCTGAAGAGACGGATTGACACTCTTCATACTGGAGCTGCCAAAGTTAATGTGTTTTCATGTTTTAACACTGTTACACATTATGCCGTTAACAAGTCCATCATTCGACGACAAATTTACTTTTGTAATACGCATTCCAGGTTTTATTATGATTCATCAATGCATATCATTGACAATGTAATATACAAAAATAGCTTGTTTGGCCTCTCAAATTTCCAGTATAGCCAACTTTTAACGATAAAGGATACAAGCCCTAAGTGTCACTTTACAAATATCCAAATCAAATCAAAATGTATTAATAAAGCACAGTAAAAACAACAGTAGTTGACCACTGTGCTGTTCTGCTAAACTAAAATAAACACAAAAAGTAAAAAGTAAATATAAACAATGCAATGACAAAAAAAATACGCCTTAAAAACTAAGAATATTTTGTGAATGCCAAAATAAATGCATTGAAATAAAGTAAACTTTAAGCAATGTAAAAAAAAAAAAAAAAACGTCTTAATACCTAAAGTACGTTTGCTTAAAAAGGGAGACGTTTTTTCCTTTTAGGGTTTCAAAAATAAAAAGGCTTTCTCACATAAACAATTTTGTAATGCTCAAGTGAAGTGAAAGTCCCACTCACCATTCAGAAAAGATTTATTGAAAGTGAAGCGTGGCT